ATGAATAGAAAGATAGACAAAGCTACTTATAAAATAGGCAGTTTTTAACGACAGCAGCAGTGGCTTCCCAAATGTTTTTAAAGGGAGAATGGTTCACGCAAACGTTTTGTCAGATCCTTACTACTATTATTTCCGTCCTTGGAAGTATTGGCTGAAAGGATCTTCGGTTTTCTTTTACAAACAAACACGCCTCCTGACGGGGTATGTAGGCCATTCGCCCGTTACCTTTCTTAGAATTGGGAATCCGAAAAATTCTTTTAAAAAACAAAATCATTAGACGTTATACTTTCAGGTTCTTTTCCCAAAAAATTATCTGAGTTGTGTGTTATTCAATTGTTCTTCAAGAGAGGAGGGACTTTGTTATACTCGTAATTATTTAATTGACTATTTAACATTGAACGACTGCCTATATTTTGTTGCCCACAGTATTGTTATTATCACTTTTCCTTTATATTTATTTTATAATTCACCATTTTCGCAAAATTGTTTAGCTGGTGGTGGTTGCTTATGACGTAGGACACGCACATGGATTAATATGTTTCACTTAACACAGTTTAATGTAATCTTGCAGAATGATGTATTTGTAGCTTTCCTTTCCCTTTCCCTCTTACATCGCTCTTCCGTACGTTGTGTTTACACAAAATTACTCTTCTGCTCGAACCTTCAATGTCTTTCTCTTAGTTCTGTTGCAAAAGGTTTGTCTTCTTTTTTTTTTTGTTCCTTTTACTTGCAAATGTAAAATCACGCCACTGATTCCCTCGTTGGTTTATATTTTGCTGATCGTGATATTTATTTGCTATTGCATGTTTGATTGTGAGATTTTAATGCATATTCTTCTTCTTCACGATAACCTTTTGTTTTTTTCTTTTTTTGGTAGTTTTATTTAACCTTGGCTTGTCCTTCATTTTCGTTTTTAAAAAAAATTTTGTTAGTTACCTTTGGCATTGATTTGTCTTTGCCGATCTCTTTGTTCTTTTTCTTTTTTTGAATTGTTCAGTGTATGTATTTTTTCCCTCTTTTTTCTTTCGTTCCTGCAAATTGTTAACAATTTAGTTTTGTTCTATACCTTTTAATATATTAGTTTGGGGAAAAAGAAATCCATTATTTTTTCGGTAGATGGCTGCACTGATAGATTTCTCGTAAAGTATCGATCAAACAATTTCAGATTGATGCTCGTTAAAAAAAATTCTTTTGCTGTTTATTGTTTGGTGCATTCAGTTGTGAGTTACAGCGTGTTAAAAATGGAAGTGAACAAAGAGAAAATTCGGTACATTTTACAGTTTTTCTTTGACAAAGACGAAAATGCAAGCCAGGCGGCTAAAATTGTGAATGGTGTTTATGGTTCCGATACTGTAACAGCAAATTATGTGCAATTTTGGTTTCGTAGATTCCGCTCAGGAATTTTTGATGTTAAAGATGCACCTCGCACAGGTAGGCCGGTCGTCGAAAATGTCGATAAAATCGGAGAAATGATCGAAGTTGACCGGCATGTTAGCAGTCGTAACATCGCCCAGGAGCTAAAAATCGACCATAAAACAGTTTTAAACCATTTACACAAAGCTGGATTCAAAAAGAAGCTCGATGTTTGGGTGCCACACCAATTAACAGAAAAAAACATGATGGATCGAATTTCCATCTGCGAAGCCTTGGCCAAACGGAATGAGATAGACCCATTTCTTAAACGGATGGTGACTGGAGATGAGAAATGGATCACATACGATAACCCTGTGCGAAAACGATCGTGGTCAAAGAGCGGTGAAGCACCTCAAACGGCCAGGAAGGTTTTGCTATGCTTTTGGTGGGACTGGAAGGGGATTATTTATTATGAGTTGCTTCCATATGGCCAAACGCTAAATTTTGATCTCTACTGTCAACAACTGGACTGTTTGAAGATAGCGATTGACCAGAAACGGCCAGAATTGGCCAACAGGAGAGGTGTCGTGTTCCACCAGGACAACGCTAGGCCACACCCATCTACAGTGACGCGCCAGAAACTTCGGGAGCTTGGTTGGGAAGTTTTAATGCATCCGCCGTACAGTTCGGGCTTGGCATCAAGCGATTATCATTTTTTTCTTGCATTGCAAAATTTCTTTAATGATAAAAAATTGGAATCTAGGGAGGATTGTGAAAGTCGACTACTAGAGTTTTTTGCAAATAGAGACCAGGACTTCTATGAGAGAGGCATTTTGAAGTTACCTTTAAAATGGCAACAAATCATACAACAAAACGGTGCATATTTGACCCAAATCGGACAATCCGAAGCATGTTAAATAAAGTCCTGAAGTTCATATAAAAATAATGGATTTCTTTTTCCCCAAACTAATATATATATTTTTTTTTTTCATTCAGTTTTACACAAATGCTTTTATTACACATGACAATTCGCAAATTGTTTGCGCGCGTACATAAGAATACACACGCAATGCTAACATTCATTTAATTCTTACGTCACATTTTTCGTGGGTACTTCTCTTTAAATGCATTTGCAAACACATCACCTTTCCACTTGAATCAATTCCAGGTCTTTTCAATTTTTATGTAAGTGTTATTTGCCAAATATTATGGCTGTTTAAGTTTATATTCTTCTTTTCCACGGGTTTTGCAATATTATGTTAAATTTATTTAAGATATTTTTGGTATATAATTTTCCCTTTTTTTCAGCGCATTAATTTCGATTTGACTTTGTTCCCGTTTACTTTGAGCTTTTTCTTTTCCTTTCATTTCTTTTACACCGCTTGCATCCTTTTCTTTTGCATTATGATTTCTTCCGGCCGACCCGCACACTTTGGCTACCGTTTTTCTAATAATCTCCTATATTCTCCGGTCATTTTGCCAACAACGATCTATTCGCCTTTCTTTGATTTTTTTCGCCGTATAGCGGATTTAGACCTTTCGGTCCTTCATTTAGCACAGGCTCTTATGTGATCGCAAATGCCTATCTTTATTGTTACTAGCATTTAGTCACTAGCATTTAGAGACTTTACTTTTCTAATGCTTGAAAAGCAATGCTCATTTCGTAGATTTTGCTGTTGTTTTATTTATTTCCTTTTTTTTTAAACACATCTTTATGCACATTTGCAACTATTCAATTATTTGCATTAAGTGTTGGCTTTTATGGAAATTCCAATATCTTAAGAACGCCTTCTGTCTTTTGAAATATATTCTGTTTATTTATTTCATGTAAATTTTTTTTTTTTTTATGTCCTATACTTGCTGTTTTCCTTCTTTTTTTTTGTTTCTCAACCTTTTTGTCCAATGCTGTTTTTCCTCTTTTGTATGTTTCAAAGTATGTTCAAAACTTTGTCTTTGTTTAATGATGGTATCGATCGTTCTTTTGTGTCTTTTTTTTCCTTTTTGTGTATTTTTTTTGTTGTTTTTTATTGGTTCACTTCATTCCGCTTTTTTGAAAAATTAAAAGGTCCCTGCTCGGGCGCCACTTGTGAGGACGTTTCCGTCCCTTTCCTAAAGGCTGGGGCAGCTCAGCGGCCCAGGGTAATGGAAACGTACAAGAAATTTGTATTTTGCAGGGACCTTTATTTTTACTATTTTAATCTAAATCTTATTCCGACTACTATGACTCGAAAACTACGTCTCTCTTAGTCGGTGACTGAATTCCAACAACTCTTAAACTATCCTTAACCTACGCTTATCTGGCCTATTCTATCCTTATCCTATCTTAATCTATCCCTATTCTATCTTAATCTATTCCTATCCTATGTCTATCCTATTCTTATACTACGCCTATTCTACTCTTATCCTATCTTACTCTCTAGCACTCCTCTCTCCCCAGCCAGAGACGGAGAACCTGTAAGGCCAAAACGAGGGACGAGTTTGGGTCCTCACGATATATACCTCTAAAAGTGTTTACTGTTGTTTTGTAATTGCCGCGATTGTGATATTAATTCCAGAAGAGCCTCAACGCTCATATATATATGATTAATTAAATAGACAGCAATATTGTAATCGAAAATGAAGAAGTCTTAATAAAACAAATAGGAAATTTATATTCGTTTTCGGCTGGAACTTTTATAGCTGTCCTAATGCAAAAGAAGTACATTTTTGTACTTTATAATATTGGGCGGGCGTGGCTGGTTTTTTCTACTTTCAGAATAAAATTGGAAATTCATGTGGTGCATGTGTACTTTATGATTAATAAGCAGAAAGCACAGAGAGTAAAGGTGTTCACAATTTTTGTAACACAGGCGCGTGACGTGGCAGACGTATCATTTCCAAAGTTTTTTGTACACGACAACCTAATTTCTGCGAAAGCGGGAATCAGACACACCCAGACGGACAGATAAGCAGGTAAATGCTTAGATGCATTCTGAATTTGGAATTGGCCAAGAATTTATATACTTAATGGGATTTTTGAAGCTTGTTTCTGCATGGTATAGGTATTTAAAAAAAAAAATTAAAATTTGATACACTATAATATTGCATGACGTAGTAAATTCTTTCGAATTTTGCATAGGAACCACAACATCTGCCATAGAATATGCGTCTAAAGTAGATTTATCCAATTTTTGATTCTTTTTGAAAAACGAAGGTACTCTCATTTGTGGATGTGTACTTGGACCTATTTGATCCATTTGTAATACCGCGCATGGGCTTCCAATGTTTCTGCCACATTTGAAGTCGATGGTTTCATTTTTAGGCCAGAAGAATGTCTACACAGCCATGCTTAAATCGATTTAGAATTTGACACTGATCAAGAATATATACATTTTGTTGGATCTCAGAAGCTCCCTTTTGGGGGTTTCAAACGTTTTGGAAAAATGTACCCATCCTTCGATGATGGGTACATTAAAAATCTTAAACTTACGTAGCCTAATAGAGCTACATAAGTTTGGTAACAACAACTTGTCTTCTGAATCAATTTCTTTAATTTGACATTTTCTACATTTTATTTTGAAATTCATATCAATTTTACATTTTCTCTAAAATATTATTTAAAATACATACTTTGAATATGTCAAATGTTTTAGTTACCAATATTAGAAATGAATATCAATTTTGTGCGAAATACGCACTTATGTATCTTTCGTAGAAATGTTTTATTTAAACTACTGCTGTTGGCGGTGTTGTTAGTTCTCTTCGTCGTCTTTATTTTGTTAACACGTATTTCGACTAGCCAGTTAAATGGACATCGCAGAATATCTGAAGTAGACCTGGGTTCGACGGGCTTTGTGAATGATACCGTTGCTACTGCTATGTTCGATGAAGTTCGCATCTTATGTTGGATTATGACAAATTCTGAGAATTATATTAAACGAGCAATTCATATTAAAAAAACCTGGGGTAAACGTTGCAATAAGTTATTATTTATGGGATCGAGAAACCACGAAGACTGGAACAGCATTGAGTTGGCAGTGGGTGAGGGACGGGACCAATTATGGAACAAAACAAAAGCGGCTTTTACATACATATACAAGTATCATCTGAGCGAAGCCGATTGGTTCTTGAAGACGGATGATGACACGTAAGCAAGTATTCTAGTAAGTGTGTTTCACTTGGCTATTTTGTTGATTGTATCCTTGCAGTTATATTATAATGGAAAATTTAAGATATCTCCTGTATCCCTATAGTCCAGAAACACCTATATATTTTGGTTGCGAATTTCGAATGAGAAGAAAAGTAGTTATTGTACGCTGGCATAAAAATTTATTATACTATTTTTTGCATAAATCTAGATTACTCGGCAGATTGCGATGTTTATGTCCGGCGGAGCTGGCTACGTATTGAGTAAAGAAGCCCTAAGGCGGTTTATTAAAGAAGCTATACCAATTTCGGATTCTCAGGCTTTTAATGAAGATGTTGAATTGGGTGTATCTTTAAAGAAAGCCAATGTTGTAGATGGCTGCTCGCTTGACAGTCAAGGTCAATCGAGATTCTTTCCCATGCATCCCCGCTTTCATTTGAAGGCAGTTCCTAGGAATGACTGGTTTTGGCATTACATGCTCTACAAAAATGAAAAGGTTGGCTTGTACGGATAAAAGCTTTTTTATAAAATATATGTTTTCGCATTCAGGACTGCTGTTCAGAGTACACGATTGCTTTCCATTATATTGGCCCGAACTCTATGTATATTATGGACTTCCTATTATACAATGTGCAACCTTACGGAATTGTTAGCAAACATTTAAAATTGCCGAAAAAATTCGAAGTTAACATACGCGCTAAGCCATCTGCTGCGTAAGACATTACCTAACCCTTGAATATGTTTTAAAAACTTTCTCTTTTTTCCACAAAATATTTCCATATCAAAATTTATCAAAACTAACAAAACAAGAAAAAGGAATGTAAGGTTTGATATCTCGAAAACTTTTTAAAAAGCCACCATATAGCTAAATAAAAATAATATTTGTTAACAAATTGACAACGAGACGCAAAAAGACGGAGTAAGAATTATAGCGAACAAAAGTAAACACTATATGTGAAGTTTTTAATGAGACCCTATGTACACTGTACTTGTGATAGCTGCACAATGCAGACCGTAGTAAGTAATTTTGAAAGTAGTGGCAGCGTGGAAAATTAGTCCGGTCTTGGTAAATTTTGGACACACTGTGAACAAGGAGTAGGCAAGTTTTTAAAGAAACTAACGAGGATTTAAGGTTTGCGATTAAAATAAAGCCCGGCCTACCGTTAAAATTGGAAGCATTAGACGATCGCCCAAAGACTATTGATCCCGCGTTACAAACAAGTTGGTAGACACGGACCTCGCGAAAACCCTGTTGCCACGGAGATATTGTCGACACACCCATAAAAATTAATTTTGTTGAACATAAAAGAACACTTTCCAACAGCCTTGTACCGTATCATCAGGTTTTTATTATCCTCATCCATGGCAGCCTTACTTGAAATCGAAAAACTAAGTATTTTCTGTTGGTAGATGGATGGGGTTATATGTCATAAAATACCATTTTCGGTAAAATCTATCATACGATTGTGATGAAGAACAAAAAAACCTACGTTAAGACCTAGTTCTTTTAACTATGCAAAACATGAATAATAAAAGATGAATTTTTCTCCAAAAAATCGTGTCCACCGATTTTAAAAATAGAGTTTAGAGAGGTAAGTTTGAAGTTGCAATAGAGTTTCTTTTCTATCCGCAATCTGCGCACAGAGATAATAAAAAGGAAAAAAAATAGGAGGGTGGGGAAAACACCAGAGAACAGGAAAATCAATAAGTTTTTTATACTAGAAAAGTTATTACATATATTTTGGTGAAATATATTTTTATAAAGATCTTGTCATTCTTTTAAACGATTATTTATTTATTTATTATCGTAGTACAGTACACAATATCGTACTTGTGAAAACTGGGCGGTTTATTTACCGTATTTGTAGAACTCTGGGCGGTTTATTTACCGATTTTGTGGAACTCTGGGCGGTTTATTTACCGTATTTATGGAATCTGGGCGGTTTAATGGCGCTCAAATTTTTATACATGCGACAGCTGTTAATAAACAAACACATTTTCAATTATTGAGAAGTGTAAACAAACATTTATTTTCTTACGGTTAATTTCTACGTAATATTACTATATAAACCACATTCGCATTTCGTTCACACTTGATACAACACTTCATCTCCGCAAACGGCAGCTGGATAATTTGTATGTTTTATCGGTGTTAGTGGAAAAAAAAAGAAAAAAAAAGAATTTAAATATCTGAAAAAAGGAAGAGAGCTTTACTAAAGTAATACAATAACCCAAGAAAACAATTTTAAAGGAAGAAAAGGAGGGAAGGAAGAGGAATCTCTCCTGAGAGAAAAAAAATTTTTTTTTTTTTTTTTGTTTGTTTAGAGATGGATTGGACCAGTTAAGTTAATGTTAGATCCATAATCCAGAAACGAAGTTGAGAGCGATTGATGAAAAAATTTAAGCATAGGTAGAGTGATGTGGCAGAGTGTTCGCAATGAGAGGCTCTGTTCCGCTGTCAATCCATAAATCACCGTCCTTGTTACTGTACTGTCAAGATCCGGCTAATAATGCCGATAAAAAAAAAAGTGTAGGCGATTCGTGATTGTAATAGAAATACTAAATGTAAAATTAGAATGAAAACTCAGCTGATTTGATAAAGGCAGTCAGTTGCTTCAAATGCCTAAAGTTACCAGCACGAAAAATTTCATATAGATTGTTATACAGGTTAAATATACTGAAAGATTGTCTAAGGATGTCAAACCTCCTGCACTCAAAAATAAGGTGCTCGGCAGACTCAGTAATATTGCAATCCTCACAGATGTCAGAGGAGGAGACTTTGATCATTTTAAAATAGACCTTGTCGTAGGTGTGATTACTCATAAGACGGTGAAGAACTTTAAATTCCCATGTTGTGAATTTTCCTTTAGGTAGAAGCGTGGGTGTCAAAAAAGGGTAAATTTTGTAGAACAGCCGGTCACTTTTTTCTCTAGCTAAAACATGATACTCATCTTTCCATTCTTTTATGATGAGTTTTTTGACTAGCAGAAAAGCTTCGCTGGGGGGGTAGTTTATGGACAAAACTGTACCATCGAACCTAGCTTGACGAGCATGGAAGTCAGCTTTTTCATTGATACTAAAACCGCAGTGACCTGGGATCCAGATGATGTGGCATTTTTCAATACTTGTGTCTTTTAAAAGGTTGTAGATATCGAAGACATACTTATTGAATGGGTCTTTGTTCTTGATTAAAATTAGAGCAGATTTGCTGTCAGAGAAAACTACAAATTTTTTCAGCTTAATTTCAGATGCGTGGATGATTGCTTGTCTGATGGCCAGAAGTTCAATGAAAGTGGATGATAGTTCTTGTAGAACTTTAAATTTTCCTATAAGTAAGTTTGGGTATTCAATAATTGAAAAACTAGAGATGTCCGAATTGATAGATCCATCCGTTGCGTATATTTTGAAGTTATTTTCGACGAAGTGGTTAAGTTTTTGCAGACAAGCGATTCTAAGACAAGACCCTGATCGATTTTTTTTTGAGTTTGTGATTGAATTAAGTAAGTTTAATTCAACTACGCATTTATCATGAATAATATTATTCCAGGAGGGTATTGAGTTAACTTTATTGAAAATGTTACTGAATTTTTTGAAGCAGTTAGAGTAACTACTGATGACATGATTGTGTCTGGAAGCGACCTCGTCAAAGAAGGCAGGTTTGAAGATTTTTACCTTGAGAAGCTCTTTTGCAGTTACAAGATAAATTCTCTTAGCAACGGGGAGTTCATAAGAGATGGAACGTAAAATTGATGTTGGTGTTGAGGGGGACAAACCGGTACAACGTCTTAGGATTGAGTGTTGAAAGGTTTGTATTTTTTTTAATGTATACGCAGGAGCGTTACACGATGTAGAGTAGGGATATTCAATTTTGGATCTAACAATAGATTTGTAAACGTTTAATGCTTTCCTAGGTGGGAGTCCAGTGTGAATGTTGGTCAGAAGTTTGATGACATTTGCGCCTGTGTTGCAATTTTCGAGGCTATCCTTGTAATGCTCATGCGTGGTTAAACTTGAGTTGATTATTCTGCCCAAAAATTTAAAAGAGGAAGACGGACTGATTTTTATACCATTGATTGTAATGTAAAAAATTTTTTTGGGACCCTTAGCAAAGCGAACGACTTTTGATTTTTCCGGGTTGAAAGTTAGATTTAAGTCTGCACAAAGTTTGTGAAAAAGATTGGCTTTAGTGTCGAGGTTACGGACTGCTTCCATTAATGATTTTCCAGCAGAGATGATGAGGAAATCGTCAGCATATTGAAATAAATGGGTAGAATTGTCCTGTAATTGATGTAAACCGGCTGTGTATAAATTGAAGAGAACTGGGCTGAGACAGCTACCTTGAGGTAAGCCTCCACAAACTTCGACTGTATGTGAATCTAATACGAGAGTTCTCGAGGAAAGAAAGTTGAGAACCCAATGCCTATTTTGTGTCGGGATTTTAAAATCAGATAGAATTTGGTCCAGTTTCGCTAAGTTTACACAGTCGTAAGCTTTATTAATGTCTAAGCAAAGCATGACTACCTGGTTCCCATTTGCTTTTTCATTTGCAATTGTGAAAAGGACTTCATTAAGGCACATACCGGTGGAGATATTTTTTTGGTAAGCAAAGGACCTTGACGGGAGAAGGTGTGAGTGATTCAGGAATTTTGTTAGTCTTTCTTTAATCATTTGGTTGGTAATTTTTAGAAGAACAGGCAGGAGGGATATGGGTCTGAAGTTGGTGAATATTTCAAGATCTTTTCCGGGTTTAGGAATGGGCACTATTTTAATTGTACGCCAAACGGTGGGAAACGAGTTGGTCATCCAGCGCTCATTTACAGCAGATAGCAGGGTTAGAAGGCTTGGCATGGGAAGGACCTTTATCATTTCATATTTGATTCCGTCATGGCGTGCTGCTGTGGACTTCTTTTTCGACTTAAGGACGTGCATGAGTTCATCAAGGGAGAATGGAGAGATGTTTTCCATCCGAGAGTTAAGTAAGGAGGTTTGGAGACCACATGTCGAGGGAACTTGAGCTTTCAGCCATTCAAGGTAGGATTTGTTGTTGAGATCATCCCAAATGGGGTGCTTGTATTTCTTTTTTGTGGTGCGATGACCATTTAAAAATTTCCAGAATGGCTTTGTATTGCTATTTGAGCATAGCTCTTCGATAACGAGGGCTCGATGGCATCTTTTGGCTTTTTTAATCGATTTCTTCCATTCTTTTTGTGATAACTTGAAATCTTCAAAATTGGAAATATTGGGGTATTTGGAAAATTTTTGTTTAGCAGCCTGTAATCTACGGAATTGTGAAGTGAGCAGATCGTTCCACCAAGGTTTTGGTGAGTAGGAATTCGAGATTTGGATGTCGGATTTGGCGTTAATTATTTCTTGTTGAAATGAGCACTGGATAGATTCGACCTGTGGCTCAAGACATACGTGAATAAGATTATTTAGGAGTTTTTTCCTCGAGATAAAGTCATTTATCTTGTACGAGGTAATAGAGGTGGCATTAAAGAGAATAGGAAGGTGGTGGCTGTTTCCCAGGAAAATTTCTTTTTTAACCTCCCGTTTGAATGTGAGATGGGTTGCGTTAGTGAAAGTAAGATCCAACACGCTACCACAATTGTTGGTCGTAGAGTGAAAATAGGTTGGTGAATTATCATTCAGACAATAGAAGTTACTAGCTTTAATGATTTCTTGCAAGGCTTTGCCTTTATTGTTTGACACGGAGTCAC